CAATTTGAAACAGATCATGAGGTGGTTCAGGAAAACATTTCTATTTGCACTATTCAGTCTTGGTATGTATTTCTACACATTTTAAGCAGTTAGATCACTCGTAGATTGTTTGTTGATATGGATTTTGTGACATACATCAAAAATCATAACTACATCAAATATTTTTAAATCTTTACAGAGTGCAGATCAGAAGACAAAGTTGATCAGCCAGAGAAATATGTGACTAAAGCTGAAGAGAAATCAGTGACATTATATTGTACATGTACAACAACTTCAACACAACCATACCTCTTCTGGCACATTCAGAGAGCAAATGACCTTCCTAAATAAATCCTGAGGAGAGACCAGTTTGGAATTGAAGAAAATGGAACTGAGTTTCAGGAGAGATTTGACTCTAAACTTTTATCAGATGCAGTTCCATTGACGATCCAGGATGTGCGTGTGTCTGACTCTGCTGTGTACTCTGAGGCCCACAGTGAGAACACTCAAGTCAAACCACATACAAAAACACAGAGGAATAAAGATGTATGGGTCATTCAATGAAATCGGTGCCTTTTTCACTTGGAATTTTTTAAAAATAAAATAAGTAAGATTTTTACAATATCCATGAAATGAAGACACCTTAAAATGACAAGAAATTGTATTGTGCCATCTCAGGCTATGTAATTTATTATTTTATGACAGTTTTTTTTTCTCATGTTTTGGTATTTTTGTCAACCCTGTTACTGACACAAGCATTACTAGATAATATAGTTTAATTAGAACTGTGTGATAGTTTTCACATATATGAGCAGCATTTTAGTTTTATATTTTTATATTTGTCATTCAGATGACCAAGAACATCCTAATTTTGGAGGGTGACCACATGTCAATTAAGAAAAAAAATTTTTTTTTTTTTTACAAGAGATACATAAAAAAGGGCTTTGTCCAAAATAAAATATAATTAAAGTTACAATGGAAAAACCTGAAATGGTATCATTTTTATCATTTTTTTATTAAATTAATGACAGTAACAGGATTGACGTCATAGTCACAGGACTGACCAGAGTAACAGGGATGAAAGGACACACATTGTGATCTACTGCGTTTATGTTGGTGAATTTAAATAAAAGACCTTCGATTTTTGCATCTTCTTCATAGAGTGCCTATCTCTGCACTACGTCTGTGACAGAATACCAGACCCTCAGAGAATTGTAAGGTATGGATTACCTAACAGAAGTGAGCAGTGTAGAGGAGAAACTATGCTCCATTTATCAAGATGGATGTCCAGTGGAGTCTTATGTAGAGGTGTTCCTCAAGTACTGCCATATGTCTACGTGGGATGACGTTCAATTTATGGATTATTTTTGGAGTGGCCTGGATTCTAATTTTAGCTGGCTGATGCCAGGGGGTGACTCGACCTGGACCCTAGCTCAATACTTGGACTATGCCCTATTGTTGAGTGGCTCCCCATTTACAGTGGGAATTGCTGACGAGGAACCCTGCAATTCCACAGTGTCCATCATGCCATGTCACATCATGGCCAACAAACTAGAGACTTCAGCCATCATGCCTGCCACCAGATCCATCTCGGGGTGGAAGGGACTAGCATCCAGTGTGGCGGATCCACCACTGATGTCAGCACAATCAGCAAACATCCCAAGACCCGAGTCCACTCCAGCCCGTAAATTTACTCCAGAGTGTCAGCCCAGTCCTGAGACTGTTGTAGCGAATCAGCTCATGGGGAAATATGAATAATTAATCATAACTAGTTATAATTAATTATAAATATTTAGATCTGCTGTAGATATTTACTTGACCTCTCAGGGTCAACTGTCTGTCAATTCTAAGAACGTTAATTTCCTGGTTAAGGGAAATTACTTTCTTACTGTACAACTCTACACAGAGCCTGTAGCATAAATCTGCAGTTATGAGCAAACAATGACCAACGTCAAGTGTGATACAAGTAAGACTTTATTAACTACATAAACACTTAAACTAGTCTAACATACACCTACACATACACATACATACACACACACACACATGCATGCAGTTGGTATAGGAAAAGGGTTAAAGCTTAAGCAGTAAAGAGGAGAGAAATAAGGAATGAAGTTATGGAACCATTTGCATATTCAGCAGATCTACACCTGAGGGAAACATCAGATTCTTAGTTCAAACGCACCTTTGTAAAAAGGCACAAATGATACTTAATGTATCAATTAACCTCCTGGGGTCGAGGTGGCACCGGCGGCACCACTTGCAGATTCTGCATAAAACAGTATAAAATCTCAAAGACAACATACACAATGACCTGAAGGATATGTGTGTTCATTCAAAGAAAGGTTTTCCTATGAATTAATTAGTAGAAAAGTCCATTTCTACTGTGCATTGTGCCTCTTCCTATGGAACATGGTTGCCATGGTTGCCATGGTAACCAGGGTCCTGGGCCTCGTTCACAGACAACTTGGCACCCAGTATGTTTATTGGGTGAGGGGTCTGTGAATGTTTGTTAATCTAATGAATAATTGATTTGTTAAATCAAATGAAAAATGGTGTGTCTGATTGGTCCAGACGCTACACTGTTAAAACCTCAGCCCAAAGGAGGAGAAGGAGGAAAAGGAGACGGTCCTCCATGACTCCAGCCCCTGAGTCCGCTCCAGTGTCGGCTCCAGCCCCTGAGTCCTCTCCAGTGTCGGCTCCAGCCCCTAAGTCCGCTCCGGAGTCGCTCCAGCCCCAGAACTCAGCCAGGAGATCATTGGACTATCCATAATGGCACTAGCATTTGTGTGTGTCTGGACCATTCACACATCGGCTCCTGCCCCTGACCAGAGTCCAGTACAGGCTCCAGCACCTGATCAGAGTCCCAAGTTTGCTTCATCCCCAGAGCTCAGTTCCGAGCTGGCTCTCATCCCAGAGCTCAGCACAGTTCCTGTTCACGTCCCAGAGTCCTGCTCAGTGGTCATTGTGCTTGCGGAAACTGCGATCGTTGAAACCGAAATTACCTTGGCTCTGACTATAACAGCAGTGGCTATTATGTGTGTTTGGACTGCACACATGTCTGTAATTTCCACAAAGAAAATTTTGGGGTGGGGCTATACCTTGATGGCTGACATAGCCATCCTGATTCCCTGTTCTCCGGTCTTCTGCATCTTCTGCATCTCTGTGATACAGTCATGGAGATCGTTCCAGAGCCTCCCGCTCTTTCAGACACAGCCAAAGAGGCCATCTCAGAGACACCTATTCCTGCACCTCCCTGGTTCCCTGAGCTACTGGCACCAACTTGGCTCCCTGCACTGTTAGCATCTTCCCGGACCCCTGAGCTACCAGCTCCACCATGGCTCTCCATGCAAGGAGCGCCACCCTGGAGGCTTTCCAGCCTACTGGCACCTCCCTGGCCTCCTGAACCTCCAACTCCTCCCTGGCACTCCATGCAAATAGCGCCACCCTGGAGGCGTCCCAGCCTGCCAGCACCACCCTGATCATCTGTCAGTTACCTACAGTACCACGATTCCAGGGCGCCCACCCTGGTGAAATTATGGCGTGAGGGTGCGCCTTCTGGGAGGAGGGTGTACTGTCACATTCTGAGTTTGAGTGTGCTTGTTTGGTTCTGTTTTTGATATGTTTTGTTGTCTTGTTTTTTATTTTAGTACTGTGAGCAGTTTTCTAGTTTGGTAATTAGTTGCTCCCATTTGTTCATTGCCTGTTTAGTTTCTATAGCTACTAATTGATTGAGTACTCTGTTCAGGTAACTGATCTGCAGTGACTTACAGCTGAGAGCACTGAGAGACTCAACAGAGAACTGAACTGATCTGATTAAACATGTACAAATGTTTTATACTGATTCTCATTGTGTCAACAGGTACATTATTTACTGAACAATTAATGAAAATCTGTAAATAATTTAGTTTGTTTTAAAACATTATTATTTTGGAGAGTGTTTTTTTAAAATCAAAAATCCCTTTCACAGATCAAAAATCTGGTTATTTGTGCTTTTTGTTGACAGGTCTGGTGGATGGAGACAACATTGAGCCAGATAAAGGGACAGAAAAAAACTCTAAAGAAACAGAAACTGTCAAGCTGAGCTGCTCATATAGTTCAAGTAGTGAATATGTTTGGCTTTACTGGTACAGACAGTATCCCAACAGAGAACCACAGTATTTATTACTCAGAGGTGCCCGATCACGTTCTGGTGAAGACACCTCTGATGATCGGTTTCATTCGGCTACATCACGCACATCCACTGAACTCACTATTACTGATTTACGTCTGTCAGATTCAGCTCTCTATTATTGTGCTCTAAGAGTAGAAGATAAAATATTTTTTTAATAAAAAAAACATGAGACATGTCGTACAAAAACCTGAAGCTCTTTTTACTTTGAAAATATCTAGTGAAAAGCACAATCAAATCCACAATCTATCCAGCCCTGAAAGTAATAAAATATGTGGTCACACCTGTGTAAGACTGAATTGGGCCTTTGTTATAAGGCATAAATGTAAATGAGAAACTTCAGAAAAGAAGCATTAACAGTTTATCCAGATATCATGTATGTGACTGTTTATTTTAAATTAATAATTTTTAATATTTAAAAACTATAATAAAATCAAAATGAAGGTAACAGCAATCATTATTATATTGAATTCATGATTTAATGTAATTAAATGGTGTTAATGTGTTTTCTTGATTTCAGGCTGTGTGAAGCAGAATTGACTTCCAACATGAACAACTGCATAACATTATTTATATGTACAGTAACACTGATAGGCAAATAAATTGTTTCAAATTATGGTACGCTATTGTCAGTCAAGCCCAAAATAACATTCAAAATGTGACTGTAATGGAAGAAAAACACTAAATACTTAACCTAATTTAAAACAAGAACCCTTTTTGACAAAATATTTCTAGTTAATGATGTTACATCACCTCAAATGCAGGAATATATTACAATAGTTCCATTCTCTCATTCTCATCTTAAATAAGGATCACAGATCAATTTTTATTTATATTTTTGGTAATCATACAGTTGTAACATTAGTTCATGTGACTGGATCTGATGTCAAATTCAGGTATAATGTGGCTCAGAGAGGAGTGACTCAGTGTTCATATGATCTTAGTGTCTGACAGAGACTGCGGTTAAAAGGATTCAGAGGGTTCTTCTCAGAGTGAACACTTGTACAATGAATCTTCATTCAGTTATTCTGTTCTGTGCCTCAGCTGGTATGTTATTTGGTTAATTATTATTATATAAATGTAGATTTTTATTGTTAAAAATTAGTTCTATGAAAAACATCTCACAAAAATAACAAATGTCTCTCTTCTTTTTCAGTTGCTGTCTTTGGGAATGTCATTAAACCAAACAAAACAGATGTTTTTGCTGAGGAAGGTTCAAGTGTTACATTATCCTGTAGTTTTTCTGTATCTGGAGGTTCAGATTATCTCCACTGGTACCGTCAGTATGGAAGATCAAAACCTGAATTTCTTCTTCTCACTTACAGCAATGCAAAAGAAGCTGAGGTGTCTAAGATAGATCCAAGATTCTCTGTTTACATTCCAAAAAGAGAACACGTGGATCTGGAGATCTCCTCTGCTGCTGTATCAGACTCTGCTCTGTACTACTGTGCTCTGAGGCCCACAGTGACAGGAAACACATCAGCTCTCTACAAAAACAATGAGAGACAGGAGAAAAAAACAGCAAGAAATAAAGCAAATAAATATTAAATTATCTAAAATTATTCTCATGTGTAATACAGTATATATTATACATTCACATGTAGTTCCTGCTTGTTCCAAATTCTCATTACAGTTTATATAAAAATAGCTAGACTATAATAAATAATAAATATTCTTCATATTTTCATCAGTCAGAAATGAAAATGATAAATGCAAAGACATCAAGTATTTAAGCCATGCCTTTATAAAGCAGGAGTGTGTTTCTGACTGATCTGCAGTGACTTACAGCTGAGAGCACTGAGAGACTCAACAGAGAACTGAACTGATCTGATTGAACATGGACAGATGCTTTATACCGATTCTCATTGTAGAAACAGGTACATTATTTATGGAGTGGAAACAAATAAAAGTGTATTTACATGATGTGAAAACCACAACCTTTCCAGCCCCCAATGTAATAAAATATGTTGTCACACCTGTGCCAATTTGAATCAGGCCTGCTAAAAAGCGCACACATTTTTTTAATCTATTGAAAACAATTTTAGAAGATGACAATCATCTATAATGTTAAACTATTCAGTTAAGATTCTGCGGTGTGTAATGTCTGCAAACAGTTGTGCGCTTGAAAACTGAAAAGACTAACATTGCCTCCTGTACATAAACTATGTTTAAGTCAAGTAAAGTTTACTGCGGGTCTCTGTTCAAATACTGTCTGTACAGGTTTATATATTTATATATGTGGCACTGTGCTGTGAGGCACAACATTTTGTACCGTTGTATGTCTCAACATATAGTAAAATGACAGTAAACCTGACTTAAACTTGAGATGCCACTTATGCAATATACTTGCAGTTAACCAGAAGAGGGCAGTAGGTACTCAATATTACATTCAACAGTACAGCAGCTTTTATAGGTCTCCACAAGCTCCTCCTTGGATCATCATTAAAATACCAAAAACAAAACTGTCATATTCACCGATTTGTTAGTACTTCAACATAGACAGTCATGTCACACAGGTTGAGGAATATATTTCTCTTCACAATATTCATTCTTGGTATGAATTCTCATTTAATTCAACTGCATATTCATGTAAGTTGTTTATATGTTGTATTGTATTGTACATTAAATATTCTTAAATCTTTACAGAGTGCAGATCAAAGGACAAAGTTGATCAGCCAGACAAACATATGACTGAAGTTGAAGGAAGATCAGTAGAATTAAAATGTAAATATAAAACAGATTCAGCACAAGATTATTTATTCTGGTACATCCAGAGAGCGAATGACTTTCCTAAATACATCCTGAGGAGAAGCAAATATGGAGGAGAAGATAATGATGCTCAGTTCCAGGAGAGATTTCACTCTGAAGTGTCATCAGATTCAGTTCCACTGACAATCAAAGATGCGCGTGTGTCTGACTCTGCTGTGTACTTCTGTGCTCTAAGGCCCACAGTGAGAAAAGTCAAGTCAAACCACATACAAAAACACGTGAGCCGAATCTCAGTCAAGAAATTATAACTTGTGCTTCTGTTTAGAATATGAAATGTTGCCTTTGATTTTGAGTTCTCATTTTATGCACAACATTCTATTATAAAAAAGTGTAATAATCTAACAATTAAATACAAATAAATATATTATACAGTATACGACAACCTATGGATGAAAGTGAACAGCAGCAGGAAGTTCAGAGAGGAGGAAGTTCCTGTGTGTGTTTCTGACTGATCTGCAGTGACTCACAGCTCAGAGCACTGAGAGACTCAACAGAGAACTGAACTGATCTGATTGAACATGGACAGATGCTTTATACTGATTCTCATTGTGGGAACAGGTACACTATTTATTAATTAATGAAATCCTATATAAATATTTATGATGTTTTTAAAATCTCAAACCACAAAGGCTATATTACTTCAGTCATTTGTATTTTTGTAAAACATGGCTAGAAATGTGTTTGCAGTATTATTTGATCAACTTTGCTTTCACCAAATCAAAAATCAGTTCATATGTACTTATTGTTCAGAGGTTTGGTGGCTGGAGACAAAATAGAGCCAGATAAAGGGATGGAAAAAACCTCTGAAGAAAGAGAAACTGTCAAGCTGAGCTGCTCATACAGTACAAGCAGTGCATATGTTTGGCTTTACTGGTACAGACAGTATCCCAACAGAGAACCACAATTCTTATTATACAGAAATCCACGGACAGATTATGAAGACACCTCTGATGATCGGTTTCATTCAGCTACAACACGTACATCCACTGAACTCACTATTACTGATGCACGTCTGTCAGATTCAGCTCACTATTATTGTGCTCTAAGAGTAGTAGCCCAGTGATACAAAACATAAGACATGTCTTAGAAAAACCTGAAGCTCTTTTCACTTTGAACCAGTCTAGTGAAAACCACAATCTATCCAGCTCTAAATGTAATAAAATATATGGTCACACTTGTGTGAGGATGAATCAGGCCTGATAATGCATTAAGCATGGTTTGTTGTAAGGGTGCTGAGAATCTCACTCTCTTTTACAGTTTTTTTTTCAACTGCTTACACACAAAATCTTCACTTGTCATACAATTTCTGAAACCTGACACTCAAACACCAGAACCACACACCAAATCTGCAAAACCATACACTAACTCTCAGTCTTTTCAATTTCATAAAACACTTTTTGCAAAACACAACCCACAATTCTCTATGTAACACACAAATATCTAACAGGAAGTATCTTGATTTCCTTTTTCAAACACAACCAATCAAAATGCCACACTAATTCATCAGCGCCTCACACTAACTCCTCACATGTGCAAACACTCATTGCTTTACTTAACACCAACCAATCATAGCTTTAGAATAGGCCTATAAATAGGCTAACGGTCAAGTTATAGGTTTTGAACAATGGATGCAAACAATGCAGACAGAGTAAGGGGAGTTGGAGGGAGAGCCAGAGGACGAGGCAGAGTTCAAGTTAGAGGAGGAGTTCAAAGAGGAGCAAGAGGAGGAGTTGGAAGGGGAGCAAGGGGAGGAAGAGGAGGAAGAGGACGAGTCGGACAGGGAAGAGGAGGAGGACAAAGACCAGGAACAAGAAGAGTGGTCTCTGATGAGATTAGGGCTATCATTGATCATGAGATCAACCATGGTCTAACAATGAGAGAGGCTAGACAGAGAGTCCAGCCTAATTTGAGTCGATTTACAGTAGCTGGTATAATTCAAACCTTTAGAAATTATAACAGGTATGTAACAATTTACTCTAATGTACATGTTCTAATGTACACATAATAGCTATTTCAGCATAACATACGGTATACTATAATACATATATTTTAGCACCCATGCATCCATTTACTTTAGTGCAATTGGTCACAGTCTGGTGGGTTATCATACTGTACAACAGTACAGCTCAATGTAAGAAGACATTCTGACTATATTGTATAAAATAGTATGTATTATGTTAGAGTTTATGGCACACACTCACACTATTCTTGAATCTTCTACAGAGTAGCAAGGCGAAGGTTTCATGGTGGGCGAGGTCACAAGTTCACTGAAGAGCAAGAGACGGCTATCGTGAATTTGGTTTTGGCCAATAATGCTATAAGAATTTGTGAAATATGTTATATCCTTAATGATGCCACAATTTTTGCTAACATAAATGTTGTGAGCCCTTCAACAATACATCGTGTCCTCCAGAGAAATCAACTGAGAATGAAACGGCTGTATAAGGTCCCATTTGAAAGGAACGGTGACAGAGTCAAGAACGTTCGACATGACTTTGTGCAGGTATGCATACCTAATGTACATGTTCTAATGTACACATAATAGCTATTTCAGCATAACATACGGTATACTATAATACATATATTTTAGCACCCATGCATCCATTTACTTTAGTGCAATTGGTCACAGTCTGGTGGGTTATCATACTGTACAACAGTACAGCTCAATGTAAGACATTCTGACTATATTGTATAAAATAGTATGTATTATGTTAGTTTATGGCACACACTCACACTATTCTTGAATCTTCTACAGAGTAGCAAGGCGAAGGTTTCATGGTGGGCGAGCATGTTATTTTGTCTTTTACAGAGAATTTTGGAGCTGGATGCCCATGCTATCATCCATGAATAAATTTATGTGGATGAGGTGGGCTTTAATCTCAGCAAAACCAGAAGAAGGGGGAGAAATGTCATTGGACAAAGGGCCATTGTCAATGTCCCTGGACAACGTGGCGGAAACAATGTGTGCTGCAATTACACAGAATGGTGTCCTGCACCATCATGCCAGACTTGGCCCCTATAACACTGATCACATCATACGTTTTCTGGATGCTGTTCATGATATGCTTGTTCAAGGTCTGCAGAATGAAGACCAGGCAAGATTTGTCATCATCTGGGATAATGTCAGCTTTCATCGCGCCCATCAGGTCCAAAACTGGTTTGTTACTCATCCCCATTTTTCTGTTGTCTACCTGCCTCCATATTCACCATTTCTAAACCCTATAGAGGAATTTTTCCCCACATGGCGCTGGAAAGTGTATGATCGTCATCCCTATGTCAACATGACACTTCTCCAGGCAATGGAGGAGGCATGTGGAGACATTGATGCCGCCTCCATCCAAGGTTGGATACGCCATACAAGGAGGTTCTTTCCACGGTGTCTGGCAAGAGAGAACATAGCATGTGACGTGGATGAAGTATTGTGGCCGGACCCAGCCCGGAGGAGGGATTGAGCCTAGATGCACACGCATGCGCACACACACACACACACACACACACACTTCCTTTGGAATAATCATCTTTTTTCAAAATTATGTTTGGATTCTGTCCAACTACACATTGTTGATTTTCTTTTCTTTTCTCTAGTACTGTATTCACAACCACAAATGCTTACAGTAGAAAAATAAATAGTTTGGTTTCAATCTTGCTTTCGTGTTTACTGTGAATTTTTCAAAATCTCTCTGACA